GACGGACGGACGGACGGACGGACGATCATGCGATTCTACAAGCTGCATCTGACTATGTCAGATGAGCTAAAAACACAAATAGCATTTCGCAGTTTTATTTATAATTTTTTCAAACATACTACACATGAACATATATTATTTATTTTTCCTATATTCTATATAGCTAACACAAATCAAAACAGAAACTGTTTGGGCACCACTTTGTGCACCATACACAAATCACGATGACATCGACCACAGCGACCAGTGCAGCAACCGAGAGACGCCAGTATCTGTACAGTACTGGGTAAATAGTGTTAATAACACCGACTTATTCAAATCGTCAAGATTTTTGCAAATTTAACCAACGTAAAAACATTTTTATCAGGTGAGAGTTTGAGGATATATTTTAGTAACATTAGTACTAACTTTTGATGTAAACTTTTGTAGGTTTCAACTATAAATTTCAGGAGATTCGTGACGTAAACACTTTAAGCGACAATTTCGCTCAGCTGTGAGTATTAAATTAAACACATCTGCATTGCAAGTGTGCATGTTTATTCGAAAAGTGCCAGTTCACCCCCATGCATGAGTAATGGGTTGCACCGGGGTTTTTGCCTACATTTCGGATGACGGTAGCCACGCGAGCATTCAAGGTTCTATTAATATACAGACTGCTTTAGAAAATAATATGATTTAAGGAGTGTAAACCTTGTTCAACAAACTTTTGTCTTTGCAATTGAACTGCAAATGTAGCCTCACATCCACACAGGTATGGGCTCTAATAATAGCAAAAGCAGTTCAGCCCTCTGTTAACAGTCAACAAATGCATGTTTAACCCTCCTCTTGAGGGTCAAAAGGTTATTAGACACTTACTCTTCGCACGTCAGTGGAAAGCACATTTCATGGTCCTTTCAATAAAGTGATAAAAATGGTAGGTCAGTGCTGAAAAAAAAAAGTTTTTCACTCTGTCCGTTAGGCCATGTCCTCAGAAAATGTCTGATATCTGACCTTTCCCTCACTGCCCTTTGACCCGTGGCCTCCAATTTTGCACTGGTGATGGGTTTCCTGCCCATCACACTATACACCGAATATTAAGAGCATAGGTCGAGCCGTTTAGATTTGTGCCGCAATTCCGTATTTCCTCCTATACGTTAAAGGCATAATAGGCCCATCGATTATGCAATTTTAACGAATGCTAGAGTAACTGGCACTTTGTGTAGTTAATAAGTACATTACCTTATAGCCAAACGCGTATATAGTTTGTCCAAGTATACAGCTGCTGTTACTAAGAAATGTCTAATTGAAATCCGCAGTCCACTGAAATATGTTGACTGGACTTGCTCTCTACACCGATTTCAAAACGCAGGTACTTCCGAACACGGGTGTGATACAGATTTATATCCACCGACATTTTCCGGCACGCATGCAGTTTTCGCTCGGCACGCAAGAACAGCACGCACGCACGCCCCGCAACACCGCACGCGCGCCCGCAATGCTGCGATCAGTAGAAACACCGGACGACGTACTAAGAAACCATAGAGACTCTCTTTCACAAGTTGCGCTCAACATGTGTTCTTATATAAAATGGTGCTTAATGAAACTTAGGCGGCTCAAACAAGCGGCTATAAATAGGTTCTTAATTGTTTGCTACTTTTAATATGTATAGCGTTGAAACGCTGCTGGGGCGTAGTGACTGTGATGCATGTGTTACGCAGTACAGTGAGTGTTATGTGTAAGGTGCTCTCATATGAGACGAGAGCCTCTAGTATATATCGTGGCACATGTTTCGTATCTCTTGTTCTGGTTGAGATGTCCATACAAGATCCATGTAGCAATGGCATGCTTACACGTTAACACAGTTAATCGAGCGTGTTCCTTCTTATGGTCGGGTTTTTATGTACATAATAGTAAACCACTACACTGACAAACGCTACACTCGGCTGTCTCAATAATCAAATAGACACGCAGCGGCACGCGTGCGGGCATTGGTTATTGTTGAGCATTGGCATTGGCATTGGCATTGGCATTGTCATTGGCATCGATATTGTTGAAGCTCGTCTTTTTTATTTTACCTGTGTTTCTTTTTAATGGTCTTCATCTGGCCATGCGAAATAATTAAGAACGCTTGTCCCCATGTTAAAAACATGCTTTAGCCCTAAAACCGGTTCTTGATGTAAAGGTTTTTGGGCTAGAATGGGCGAAGTTTAGGGCAGGGGCGTTAAGCATGGTGGTCTGTTAAAATCTATGGGTTTAATACGCGGAGGTGTTTGTATACGCTGTAGGTGCAGCAGGTTACGGTGTCCGCGTAACTGTATACCGTAGACACGTGAGTTCTGATTGTAATGAACGTGGAGATCCAATCGGTTACGAATCAGCGGAGCGCTCGCTGATAATACAGTCGGCTGTGTTGGGGGGGACCAACGCTATGTGGGAGGATCGCGGAACGTCACACGGCCGACAGACTAAAACAATGGAAAGCAAGGACCGGCACTACGGCGTATTTACTACGTATATTGGGTCAAACGAATAACGCTGTTCTAAAATTGAAGACATGTGGGAAACGCTAGCCGTTCAATTAGCACGGCCACGGTTATTTACCTTTCGTGCTGCAATACCGAGAAATATACACCCAGAGATATACATTCTACTAGCTCATTAGTCGTATATAAGCATCCCGGGACAAACAATTCTCTGCTAAACACCCGTAGCAACATGTGACGTTGCCTAACCGAATTCGAGGCTATTTTGCTTGGCAACCAATTTAGCGTTGGCGCCAGATTACTAGATTTACGGATTTCAATTAGACATTTCTTAGTAATTAGCAGTGATATTGGACAAACTAATACGCGTTTGACTATAAGGTAATGTACTTATTAACTACAGAAGGTGGCCGTTACTGTAGCATTCGTCAACTTTGTATAATCAATGGGCCTATTATGCCTTTAAGTTAAGGGGAAAATATTCCCCCTCCGTTGACACATCTTGACCTTTGACCCTTGACCCCCAAATTGGTCATCCCGAGTCCTTTTCACGATCCCCCCCACGTCCCGAATATCGTCACCGTATGTCGAGCGGTTAAGATTTGTGCCCAACTGTTGACAGACGGACGGACGCACGGACAATCATGCGATTCTACAAGCTGCATCTGACTTCGTCAGATGAGCTAATAGTAATAAATAAGTAAAATGAATAAATAGTTAGAGCCCACGTTTTAGTAGCTACGACTACGAGTTCTTGCAGCATTAATCCTTTGCTAGTAACAGTTGCTTGTAAGTTGTAGTTGTAGGCTATGATTTTAGATGTGTAATTGATACTACCAATTCATTATTGTAAACAACTTTTTTAAGTTCGGTTCATTGAGTGATTGACATTGTGCCTATCTCAGCTATCTGTACGGTGAATACATCGATATAATTGAAATCGTTAATTGATTGGTGGTCAGTATAATAGTAGCTCTAGTGTAGTAACTATAGCCCGCGTACAGTTGCAGCTGCAAGTACTTAGCAGTACTTAGCCCCGGTACATAGCTAGTAGTAGTAGTACTAGAGCTAAGCCAGCGGCAACAGTACGCAGGCTATATTACTACTACTACTAGTAGTAGTACTAGTACTACCGTAAGTGCCGTGGTCACTAGAGCTAGGTGGTTAGACTTGCCTGAGACATTGTAATTGTATATCGTACTTGATGTTTGTGCTTCACAAATAAAATAACGGAAAACTAAAATTTGATAACTCAGTCCTCAGGCTCAAGCTCAGATACAGCTGAGATATGAAAGCCACGGCCACGAGACGACCTTCCCAAGGATGAACACAGTGTTTGGCCTAGAACCCTTGCTCTGCTTGGACCTTCCCTATGGCGATTACAAGTGAGCATGCTAGTTTTAAAAAGCGACATCTGGTGTTAGTACGCCATGTGCCGATTTTGACTCACCTGTCTTTATGCTACGATTCTATAATTAATTTCCAGTGCAAAGTATTGTTTTAGTAAGGAGGCAGTCTTCAATATGAGTTACGATAGAGCACCGCCAGATATTCATGGCATGGTTTCACTGAAGGTCGATAACTTGACGTACAGAACAAGTCCCGAAGATTTGCGGCGGTCATTTGGCAAATATGGCGAAATTGGTGACATTTATATTCCCCGGGACCGGTTCACGCGCGAAAGCCGAGGCTTCGCTTTTATCAGGTTTATTTTCGAAGTTATAGTGAATCTAAGTATTTCATATTATATATGCATTATTGTAATCCCATACGTTAAAGTTGCGTATATGTTATCGCGTATTTGCCTTTGTTTAAGTAATTACTAATACTAATAGTAATACTAATACTAATAGTAATACTAATACTAATACTAATAGTGGTTCAAGGATAGAGAACATGGGTCCCAATATAACCAATGTCATTTACATCAATATAAATATAATATTCTATCAATATAATAGATTAGGGTTAGGGTTAGGGTTAGGGTTAGGGTTTAAGGCACATTGGTTTTATTGGGACCCATGTTCTCTATCCTTTGGCCCTAATAGTAATACTAATACTATTACTATTATTAGTAATAGTAAGGCAGTGGCTACGGGTACGGTAGCCGTATCTTAATGTCTCGAGGCTACGGGTACGGGAGTCCATTCGCTTTCATACTTAACGAGACAAAGATGGCGGCGGTGGCGCCAGATTTCGAAATAACGTCTTGGGAAATAAATTCACGATTCGAGAGTTTAGATGAACTAGAACCCTAACCCTAACCCTAAATCTTACCTTAACCATAACCCTAAACCTAACCCTAATCCTAACCCTAACCCTAACCCTAACCCTAACGCCAAAAAGGGGCTTCAACGACCGACGGCTACAGGGTTCTCCCCAGGATGAAATTCAAACAGGGGGGAGGGAAGGGGGAGGGGGGGAAACAGGGGGGCGTGTTTTTTACCGTACCACTAATTAATGCGTAAAATCGCCACCACACCATAGACGGTATTTGGGGTTCTTGTATATATAAGATAGCCGAGTCGGTGTACAGTTAGTGTTAGGTGTGGGACAGGTTGACTTTTTGTACTTGTGTATTGTCTGCAGTGCATGCGTGGTACTGTGAAAATACACGCGCCGGGTGTCCTAGTCGAATTGTACTTCTTGACGATCGATTCCCGCGCTGGCAAACTTTTATTGTGGTGGAATTTAATCGGGGCGGAGGTAATTTAAACGGGGCGCAACGATTGAAACGGGGGAGTTTTCCCGAACGGGGCGTATTACTAATACTATATTACTAGTAATAGTAATACTATGTATGTTTGAACACCGCATAGTCGCATGTCACTGTCATTGTAATGGGTGTCACGTGCTAGAGACGAGCTAGTAAGAGTCCAGCCCATTTAACCAGTGCCATACTATGCTATTAAATGGTATATGGGCTCGCCTATGGGTGTCTCGGCTAACATCCATGATAGTTTTACCTGTTCCATGGGCTTTCATTGTGTTGTGCAAATTTTCATGCAAAATTGGCTAGACTGAAAATTGACTCGATGACAATGACTGAAAAATTGACCAGAAATTTTTGTGCAGTTTATATTAAGTTATCCGTTTTCTATTGTTTGTTTCTGTCCTTGTCTCATAGTTCGGTCAAGATTTTAGTAAACTTAAATTTTGAGTAAATGCAACTTTGTAGCAACTTAGCAAGTGTGTCAAAAGATTATAAGGTTGCCTGATAGACATTCTTACTACGTCGGAAAGATTGAAAAAAATGTTAGGTACAAACTAGGAAATAAACATCTATATCATTTGCATAACATGTAAAATTTAATCTCAGGTTCTACGATAAACGGGATGCAGAAGATGCAATGGATGCGATGGATGGACGATCATTAGATGGCAGGGACTTGAGAGTAGCGATGGCACGCTATGGTCGACCAGATGAGAACCGATCGCGCCACCGGGGCGGTGGAGGCAGGCGTGGCAGTTCACCAAGACGAAGGTGAGTTGATTTAATAATCTGTATCGGCGAAGCTAATGTAATTGAATTCTATTTTCATGATAACGTCTGTATTCCTACGCGCACGCATCCTAATTACTCCCCATACTCCGCCCCCGACAGTAGCGTCGATGGCAGCATTGTGCTCCTCGTTTGCTGCCATTGTCGCGCTTCTCTCTTGCAGGTCGTATTCTCGTTCTCGCTCGCGATCCCGCTCGCGGTCCCGATCACGCTCTCGCTCGCGATCAAAGTCGGCGAAGAGAGAGCGCCGTAGATCGACGAGGAGCCGCAGCAAGTCGACGAGCAAGTCGCCGCGAAAGGTCAAGACGCCGAGCAAGTCGAGGTCGCGGTCTCGTTCCAAGTCTCGATCGAGGGAGAAGTCGACTTAGGCGGCCGATTCTGCGCTCGCTCGCAGTTGCGGGTTTTTCTGCTCGGGACGCCGCTGAGGATCACGTGGCATGGAGAGCTTCTCCTCGTCCACATATATTGTAAGAGTGTTTGTACGAATGTTTTATCGTTGCGTTGGCTACGGCGATGCGGGGCCTTCATGTTTAGGTGTATTTAGTCGGAACTGTCGTGTTGTATCAGTGGGCCAGTGTCTCGCGTTAAGACAGTAATGGATCGTACGTAGCCAAAATATTCAGTGGGAAAAGTGTATCTTTTCATTTTCCGAGACATTATCTGTTGCGATTCACCTTTGTGGTCATCTCTAAGCAAGCAACGAGAACAAATTATCTACCTGTCATGAATAGGTGAAAAGCTTACGCAAGTGTTTCATATGGAATGTGTTCATGGTGTTAGCGTTAGTTAATTGTGTGCATTTTAATGGGACATCTAGATTGGTGTGCTATTTTGGGGAGGGGGGGGGGTTGTGTGATGAGATATAATATATCTGAGCTACATGGTTTAAGTTTACTTTAGGACAACAATTTTCCTGTTGTGATTACCTAAAAGTTGAAGTTGGCATGTTGCATTTTTATCAAAATTTATTTTTTGTGAACCTTCTAGGTGTAAGTACACAGGCCAGTGTTTCAAATTAGAATTGTGAGCTGCTGGTGTTTTTAAGTATGGTGTTTGTTTGTACTTTATAATTTCGTTGTATAATTTTCTTTGAATAAACTTATTTCACACTATTGAAGTGCATATCTGTTCTCCTAACACATTCACTTTCCATATAGTCATTAACAAGATTTTTTGTCTTTTGCACAGAATGCAGCAGTTTCTGCAGCTTCCCAGCAGTTTGTTAGCAGTTTGGGGGTTGCTGTTGCAGCAGTGGGGCATTGGGTAGCTGCCGCACCAGAAGGAGCTGTTGCAGCTATCCAGTGTGGCAGACGTGATTGTTGCAGTGTAGCTGTCAACAGGTATACCTCAGTATTCACGAGTAATTCCCATTGCAAAATAAACGAAGGGCGTTGTGTCACTGTGTTAAGGTCTATAGCATGGCGCAACTTTTAGCCTATCGACTGTGTTTTCAGAGTAATTGCTAGTTTACGGGTTGCGAATACCGCACGTAAACCTGCGAAATTCTGTTACATGTGTATCTTTTATTGCCTGTAGGGGTCGCCGCTGTCGGCCAGCGGGACCAGTTTGCAGTTGGGTGGGCATAGCTGTCGTGTGGCTGCGCTACGTTGCTGTAAGCTGAGACAGCGGCAGGTGTTCGTGCGGTGTAGCTGTTCAGTAAGGTAACTGCTGCGAACGATGTGGATGCGTAAACTTATGCGACAGACACGTGGTCTGTTGTGAAGTGAGCGTATGGAAGGCGGATGCGGCACCTCCTCCCCTCCCCCCTCCCCCCGGTTCCTGACTGTCGTCCTTGCAGCCATCTCCTCTGGCACGACCATTTTCGTAAACCGCTCTGGTCAGTGTTCATGTGCCGAATGTGTGCCACAGTCACAGTTCTATGTGTTTTGCATGCGCCTGGCCTTGGTACCAGACGATATCTCCCTCGCCCGCTATTGTTTCTCTGTGCATATTTTTGCTTGCAATAACTGGAACTGTGTGTTGATGTTGCACATCTTTGTTTGCCACTGTGCTCGGTGCTGTGTTATGCACTTCTCAACTTGTCCCCTCCCGGCTGTTCTAAATTTTTCGGTGTTCCTTGCTCCTAACTAGTGGTGGGTTTATTCTGTGATTGACCAGTGGAGTTTCTCATGGCCCTTTTCCACTTGGTCAATGGGTCCAACCATGCAAGGGTTGTCTTACTGGGGTGGTTGAGTTTTATGGTTCTCACCTTGCTGATTTTCCGTGAAGCATATGCCATAGCAGTGGTTTCTTTTTGTTTGTCACTGCGCTCCTGCTTTTGAAGAGTCCCATGCGTTTTTTCAGCAAACCCAAAATTTCAGGAGTAGTATGTCATTGTAAGTATGTCACAGTTTGCCAACTTGTAAGCAGTTATCATTTATATGTCCTACAGTAATGTGAATGACATTAAACTGAAAATATAATTGAAATAAAAAGTCATCGGTAGTCTAAACCTACACATTTAGAGTTGTTCTTTATTTAATCTGGCACTTTTGTTTTTCCGATAAAATAAACAGTAGAATGTCTTTGTCTGAACTGAGTCTTATTATAACTGAACTGCGCAGTAGGCCTTTGGGCTTAATAGCAAGCGTAGGACTCGGTATAGTAGACTTTGCAGTTGATAATATAATCTGTGTTTTATCTACTCATTGCATGCAATTTACCTCCTGTTCCCCCTAGCATTACAATGTATTTTAACATAGCTTAACATCTAGGTAGTCGCTGAGTCGTAGTAACTGCCACAAATGCTTGTTCTATGATGCTTGCGCTTCTGAAATGGTGAAGTCCTTGTTGACGGTGAGTGGTACTGTCACATGTGACTTCGGGAGGGTGAGTAGAGACGAGCCGGCATCATCACTGACCTGCTCTCAGTCAGGGGGGGGGGTGGACACTGCTGTCAGCATAGTGATAGGAATACGTGTAGGCAATCATGTGCATGGTAGCTTCACGCCACTGTCTTTCAGTCTCTCGTTGCAAAGTTTGTCGAATCTCTCGCTCTGCTCGTCCGTAAAGAACTGTCTCCACGTTGATATGGAACCTGGAACAATTAAATGAGAGATGTGTAAGGGTTTTTTATTAGGCCGTGGCTACCGGACGCGCAGCTCCAAGGCTAGAGCAAGTGAGGGAACTGGGAAAAATATCATTTTCGTTATCCATTTCTACAAACATATTAGGTCCGACAGTAAAGTGTAAAACTAGTACAGTCGTATTCAGGAGCAATGAAGTGGGTGATTAAATTGTACACTGCCGACCAAAATAGTTTCCTATGTGCCCATGTAGTAGATATGAAAATAATAACTTCAAAATTTCACTGGGCTTCTTACTTTTACATGCCTGGAAAATTTTAGTGAAATTGTTAATTGTTTTGTTTAAAAAAAAAAATCCTATTATAGCTTATTTGCGAGCAGACAGCTTTTATCTGGAGCAGATTACCTTTCTGATCAGCGTTGGATTCCTTCAGCCCACTCAGTTCTGTGGGCAGTTCGTTGAGAGAGACTACTTTCGCTATCTCCTCTTCGTTGAGCTCAACGCCCAGAAACTGCGAAAGGTCCACGACCGCTGCCGCCAGATCCTGGAATAGAGCAGGCGGGAGTGTGGCATGCGTATGTGTGGTGAGATGATGAGGCCATAATAAAAATATTGTTTGTTTGCCCTCACCCGACCGACCCGCCAAGAAGGGTCGGACTAAAAAATTTTTATTGAATTTTCCCTTCTTTTTTTTACAAATTGTATCACTACATTATATAAATCTGTAGGCAATACATTATATGTACCAAGCAAAACAAACATTCAACATAAAAGGTATCTCCACACAAGCACACCGAGCATGTAGACACCATGCCGGGTGAGGGCAAACGAATAAAACCTGAGCAACCTATACTCGCCCCTTGCCCTTCCTACCAGGTTGCCAAGTCGAAAGGGGGAGTGGTTGTTGTTTGTATTGCTATTGACAAATAAATTTTCCACTATAATTATCAGTTTTGGATTTCTTGTATTTTTGAGAGTATTTTATGATTTTCTTCAATTTTACTCGCACTATCTAGGTAATTGGAACGGTGGCGAACCTTTGTGATTTCTTCGTAGGTAACGAACTTGATATGTTTCTCCTCGCGATGGCGCCACCAGTCAAGAACAAGGTCAAACAACGACCCGCCCATAACTTTAAAAAGAGAATGTGGTTTTAGTTGTGATTGTATCATTGGTTCAAGCCAGCTGAAATGTGATGCTAGTATAGCGTGAGACGTAGTAAGACGTTGAAGACACTACTGTGTCAGTAGTACACCCTGACGGCGCACCGGCTTTTCTGTAACCGGAAAGCTCACAGGAAGTTGCATTGTGCTGTGATTGACCGATTGCGTATTAGCGCGCACACTAACGCAGTTAAAAAAAGATAGGATAGAAAATCCAATGATTGACCGCTCACCATCTCCGCTTAGGAAGTATTCGTAGTAATCGTCCCAGGGTGTCGTGATGCGGCCCTTTGTGCTCGTGAACGCCCTTTCCGTCTTGTGGTGTATATAGTATTCTGCTGCCACGTCCTTCGGGTTTCGCAGCACATAGATGATCTATACACGTGTATGAAATCATTAATTATTGCGAGATTGTGCCAATGGGGCCATCGATCAATTGGTTGATCAGTTGGACCGTTGATACCAGTCGGCTTCTTATCAGAGTGCTCGCTGGGGGGTTATTAGAGAATATATATATAGACTTTTTTCAAACCGGGACGCGGGTCACTTGCAATTTCGCACGAACTGTCTACGAACATGGCCGGGTAGGGGTGCGAGATTCCAGTCATCGCGCAGGGGGTAGGGGCGTTGAGATAACAACGTGAGCATTGCGCGGTCTATATATAGGCTTCTAATAAATACCTTATTCGGTCTGGCGACGACCGACGCCGGAATCTCGTCGTATCTCATGCGGCAGATGAGCACGCGCGGAGTCGGCGTGATATTGACCTTGAAGATTCGCTGTCGAGGTCCCATCATGAGTCCCGTCTCCAGCGAGCCCATCGGCCGCGTCGTGCGCTCCTTGAACGTGTCCGCATCGGCGCGATGCAGTATGGCCGTGACGATGTTGTGCAAGAACTGGCGGCCTGCGCGGAGGCAAACCGCATTAGAACAGCGACAGGCGAACGCCGATAGCGTATTTACAACGCAGAAGGCAGAAAGGTTCGATATGATATGACTACTAGGCACTTTAATTGAATTCAATTTTTTTTTTTTTTAGGGTTAGGGTTAGGGTTTTTTTTTTTAAGTGCCTAGTAGTCATATCTTAAGTGCCTAGTAGTCATATCATATCGCACCTATCAGCCGGGTGCGTTTACAACCAGTGTACGCCATTTTTGACGTAATTAGAACTTTGCTCATCAGAAGGAGAAGTTTATTAGCAAATTAGATTAAATTAATTAGCGAGAATTGCAGAAAATGTAAACATGATCGCTTTACGAGTCAAACTCGATTTGACTCCCACGAGAATTCAAGGTCAGTGAAAAATACAATTCATTTCAAGTTACGGCAACAGAATTACCTATTCGTAGTTTGCTAATCCATATGAAACATGCTTCGCAAAAGCTTAAAATTAATTCGAAAGATGCGATGTGAACCCGCTCACGGCGTACGCTGGTTGCCACGCTGATGGCGTGTGGACAGGACAACCAAGCCGCTCAATTTCGCGACGTACACTAGTTTCTAACGTCTCCGCGAGATGGCACTTAAGTTTTGGAGACAGGTTTAGATTTCTCACGTTTTCAATTTGGTGCGTTTATCAACATATAATTAACGATTATATACGATATTTTATAGTGTGCATTGCTCAATGTAACAAAAAATATATCACCAAACTTCGACAAAAAAAACAAGCGATGTACACAATACAAATGCCGCAAAAATTTAACTAGATTAAAAAAAAAGTTTAAAAGAACGAAATCGTAGATCGGTACCGGATTTTGGGTATCCTACGATCCACACGTCGTCGTCTCTTGATTCGAAGTCGCACCCTTGCAGCATGCGGAGAAACTCGGGCTCCTGTCGCCACTTGATTCTTCCTGTTCGACCGACACATGCATGTAGTTTACACCAACAATTCTAGTGAGTCGCACGAATTCACACGGTCGTCGTCTCGTCGCCGGAAGCTATAGCGACGACGACAGACGTGGGCAGAGTCGTAGTCTACGAGAGGCAGTGGTAAGAGGAGGGCAGCCGATCTCTTAGATTTTAGCATTTACGTAAATATCCCTAAAATGTCAATAACTATCGAATAAATGCGATAAAGAATAGAATGAGTTTGACCCTTCATGCTAATGCTAACTTGCGCGTGCGCTTTTGTTTCACGGTTCTGCAGAAATGTGTTTCCCACACCATTCTAATAAGTCAGTTAAGTCGCAATATACCGTCTTATCGGTTCAGTCGCAAGATTTTGCCAATTTCTCCAGGTAGCTATTTTTTTTTTTAGCTTTACAGCGTTGATGGGGCGACGCCGTTGAGGCTTCAGATAGGTGAACTATGACTGTCGCCGTGTGTGTGTGTGTGTGTGTGCGTGCGTGCGTGCGTGCGTGTGTGCGTGCGTGCGTGCGTGCGAGCTTGTCTGTGTGCGTGTGTGTGCGCGCGCGTGTGTGTGCGTGCGCGTGTGTGTGCGCGCGCGTGTGTGTGCGCACGCGCGCGTGTATATGTGTGTGTGTGTGTGTTGTGTATGTGTGGTGTGCGTGCGTGCGTGCGTGCGTGCGTGTGTGCCTGCGTGCATGCGAGCTTGTCTGTGTGCGTGCGTGCGTGCGCGCGTGTGTGCTCGCGTAAGTGTGACCGGAGATAATTAGTAACGTTCATCAATAGCTTGATCATATGTATATGTCGATCAATATATTATCAATATAGCTCTATACGGCAGCACGCAGCCCCGTACAGTAATAAGCGCGGGAATGACCGCGTCATCTTGATGTGCTATCAGGAGCTAATAACGACAAATTTGTCATTATTAGCTCCTGGTGCTATATATACGCACGAGAGACGTGTGCGTGCGTGCGTTCACCTACCGTCATGTCTGACGACGGTACCGATGCCCTCGTACAGCGGCGGCACGAGGTTGTTGCTGGTCATCGTTACGTAACGGGAGTGTCTGAGCAGGCGACGTGGCAATGACAGCGTGCGCGACGGCAGTAAGCGAACGACGGCGTGGACAGTGTGACGTACCGGCGGCGGCGTTCACTTACACGAGACACACGGCTCGTGGCACAGAGTGCGGCTGGCTGTCTTTATCTGGTTATCTCAACCAGTCACGACGTACCGGCAGGTTAGACAGCCGCGGCGACGTCGTGCGCAAATACACGCGGAGTAGGCTACATAATTATGACGTCAACGTCGGCGTCGGAAGCGCCCCGCATTATCATCATCATCATCATCGGGTTCATGCGGAATTTTTATCCGAAAAATTCGGGTATTCACACTCGCACGCACACGCCCCCCCCCCGTGTTTAATGTGTCTGTAAGGAAATGGAGCTCTGTGGCAGGGGAATTATTTGTGTTCAAACCACATGATTAATCTATAAATAGAAAAGTGTATTTGCTTACATTGTACGTGCGATCTGAAAGGGTAGTCGGAGTTCTATTTACCTCTATCATCCAACTCAATAGTGGACCCTATTAGTGATTGACCAGATTGATGGTGCCATATACGAAGGAGGGCCAAGATTGTATTGATTGTATTATTCTTAAAGGCAGCAGTTGTTTGAATACGGTGACCTTTAGCACGAGTTTGTAGAGGCGTGATCGATAACGAACCGCACGTTACCCTCGAAAATGCAGCATGAGTATCTATCTCTAATCTCTATCTTAGTGCATGGTCACGTCATTGTAGATGTACCCAGAGCAGATATAGTTGACATACCCTCCCAAACTCCACGACAGATGGCGCCCTCGCTCATGGGCTCAATCTACGTAGGTGTTGCTATCCGGGTAATGCTATCCCCCGGGCGTGGAGGGACGGTCACGTGGTACAGTTGACGTATACTTCAAAACTCAACAGTAACCATAACCCAAACTCCAACACTAACCCTAACACTAAATATCTAGATATCGGATATCTATATATGTAGGTGTGTCATCCACAAAAATTAATCTATGGTGTGGGGACAGATATCATGATGCAAAAACCCTAACCCTAACCCTAACCCTAACCCTAACCCTAACCCTAACCCTAACCCTAACCCTAACCCTGACCCTAACCCTAACCCTAACCCTAACCCTGATCCTAACCCTAATCAGGGCCTAATCATAACACTAGTGCTGCCACGTTGCGGTACTGTCCCTCCACGCCCGGGGGATAGCATTTCCCATCTACCAGGGGGTGTCTATATTCAAGCCGGTACGGGAGATTACGGTACGCATATATTTGCTAGTAATATATTGACTAATCGTGCGTCAATAAACTCAATATTCACAGAGAGTATAGCTAACACATGTGTCTATAGGTATCTAGAATATATTATGCAAATGATCTCCCGTACCGGCTTGAATCTGTGAATATTGAGTTCATTGACGCACGATTATTCAATGTAATATATATTAGCAAATGACAAATATATGCGCGCGGAAGTGAATTACAGATGATTAAATTTCTAAAATTCTAGATACCTATAGACACATGTCTTAGCTATACTCTTTGTGACTATTGAGTTTATTGACGCACGATTAGTCAATATATTAGCAAATATATGCGTACCGTAATTTCCCGTACCGGCTTGAATATAGACACCCTCAATGATCTACCACTGCCACAAGCAGATTTTCGTTACAGTATAGCGCTTTTTACTACAAGTTTTACAGCAGCCACGTTGCTCGTATCCTATGTAATAAGATGTTGACTAATAAAAGTTGCAAAGATTTTAAAATTCCAACCATTATTTTATGAAAAATTTGATAAAATGGTGATACGAAATAGTACCCTCCATGATATACCATTGTTGGCGGATATACCATCTTCCAAACCTAAAAAACGCGCGATTAATAATAAAGTCGGACGTGACCGTACGAATGCCTATTATATGGTGTTGGAATTACGGATATATCAAGAAGTTAAGAAAGCAAGAAGTTAAATACTTTTGAATGCTAAAACAAAGGCAGAAATAGTGTAAGAGTCAGTGTTGCAAAATATGGAGGTGATTGGGTTATATTTAAATGGTTTCCACGAACTGAATGGCATCATTTTCTTTGAAACATCTCAGTTGAAAGATTGGATTCCCTTGCACTGCTGAGCGAGTCTCTGAAAGAGACATTTATATAGTTACAGTTATCTGAAAATTATACACCGAAGGTGGTTTTGTGTATGTCTGTGACATTGCGCATGTTTTGAGAAGCTTATAGTTTTTTAGTAAAGACTATATCAAAATGGTCTCATACCTTGTCTAATATAATCACTGTTCATTATTTATATGAACAGATGATGTGCATGGTTCAGGTAGCGGGAGGAAGGGGAATCCGGCCATAACAGCGGCGTGATACATTGCAATTGCGCGCATAAATCAGTTTATCAGCGCCACGCCACATCAACGCTTATTGGATTGCCGCATGAACATGGCGACGTTTGTATAGCGTTATTCATGGCTCATGAATAGTAGCAGTTAGTCAGTGTCATGACCTCCGCAATATAGTAACATGTTATCAGTTGCGACATTGGATTTTAATAGCGCATCTCGTGCAGGTGCGCGCAGAGTAAGTGCCTACAACAGGATGCATTATTGGCGAACAGAACTAACGCATTATCGCGCCGCATTAACCATAAATGCCTTAAATATGCCATAATATTAGGAATGAATGAGATTCGCGCCGACAGTTAACGCAGCGCAGCAGCGGCACTGTCGCCACATGGGCAATTACGCATACACGGGGGGGGGGCATATATAATATAAGCTACATGCACGCACGGGGGCAATATATACTAGTAGGTTACACGCACGGGCGCGTTCTCGCGTAACATTGGCGTGCGCAGTTGCGAGGCTGGAGCTGTGAACCGTACACGACCATGCTAGAGAACGTGAGCGCGCCCGTGGTGGAAGAAATGTCGTCGACGTCGAACGACAGCGTGGCGTTCTTCGAGAACAGCACGCGGGCCGCGGACGCGGTGGCTTCGAGTTTTAGCATGCAGGTAGGCATAGCTGGCTTCGTCATTATCATAGTGTTATCGGCAGTGTCCATCTTCTGCAATGCCATGATAATAGTCGCCGTAGCGAAGAGCAGCCTCCTGCAGGAACCGGCCCACCTGCTCATAGGAAACTTGGCCATCGCCGACCTCCTGATCACTCTGTCGATTCTCACCATCTACCCGAATATACTGCGTGCGGAAGCGACCGGTGAGTGGGCGTTCTACGTGTGTGCCGCCGCGCTCTACATTCCCGTGTTCACGGAAACGCTGTCGTTTCTCACCATCATCGCCATCACCACCGATCGCTATCTCGCCATCGTGCGACCGCTGCGCTACCCGGCCATCGCAACGCGTCGCCGAGTCAAGATCTTGATCGCACTGTTCTGGGCGCTGGCCGTAGCAGCCGTGACGTCGGCGATATTCGACACGAACTTCAGCGGCGAGCACTGCGATCTGCTCTACACGCTAGGGTCGACGTCGGCGACGTTGGCGGTGGCGCTGTACGTGGCGGTGGTCGTCACCATGGTGATCGCCTACGCGCACATAGCAGCGATAACCGTGCGGCACATCAAGCAGGTGGCGCCAGGCGAGTCGGTGCCCGAGTTCGACAAGCAGGTGAGACTCGCCAAGGTGCTGATGATGATCGTAGGAACGTTCGTGCTGCTGTGGTTGCCGCTGAACGTGACGCTGGTTATTAGGCTGGTGCACGGAGAGACGACGGAGGAGCCGAGGCACGAGGGGAGGGAACAGTTACGTCAAGTGGTTGTGTTCAATTTGGCGTTCCTGAACAGCGTAGCAGACCCCGTAATCTATGCTTTCATGAGCGCCGATTACAGACACGCGGTAAAGGAGCTACTGCGAAGTTATCTCAATAGAGGCTAACGTCAACTTCTGCGCTGTTGCCTACTGCAAGAGATGTTGTAAGATATAGAGAAGCTATTGCGAGCCAAATATACGGACTTAGTAAGAATTATTCGTGTAACGGGCACATGGCAACGTTCTGAATTCTAACACGATCACTAGTTTTTCCGACTATGTAATATATATTTATACGGAGTAAAAATGTGGATTTCGTACCCCTATTGTTAAAATCGCCGGCATATAGACTTTAGATAAGTAATATGCATGCTAACGTGCGCATTTCTATAAATATTCATTCGTTTGCCAATATGAGTTGCAAGTTACAATGTATAACTCAGTGCAAGAGATGTTGTAAGATAGAGAAGCTATTGCGCGCCAAAACTAATGGTCTTATAGTCAGTAAGAATTATTCGTGTAACCTTAGAGTAATAACTAAATAAGCTTATGGTAACGTTCTTCTGAATCCTAACACGATCACTAGTTTTTCCGACTAGGTATGTAATATATATTTATCAGGAGTAAAGATGTGTATTTCTTACCCCTATTATTGATCGTCGGAATATAGACTTTACATAAGTAATATCAGGGGTTAATAATGACAAATTGTCATTATTAACCCCTGGTAATAATGCATGCCAACGTGTGCATTTCTATAAAATATTCATGGCCGTGGCTACGCGTCCGGTTACCGGACGCGCAGCTCCCAGGCTACGCGTCCGGTCATATATTTCTTATAGGGTGTGAACCCAACTATATTTTTTCAGAAAAAAAACCAATAAACAATAAGTTTTTACCATAATATTACTTACCTTTAGGTATTTTACAAAAAAAAAAGTGTTTTTGTAACTTTTGAAGCAATAGTAAATCTAGTAAAATCAACGATTTGAAAGGGGGCGTGGCCTAATCGTGACTATCAGCTTATCAAGCCTATCAGCTTTGTAATGGATGACCGGACGCGTAGCCACTGCGAATATTCATTCATTTGCCAATATGAGTTGCTTTACTTTACTCGCGATTTTAGCACGTGGCAAATCGAGATAGGTTTAGCGAGCTGTAAACAATAATAAAGTCTCCATGTTCATATTTATATAACATCTGTCAATATTCAAAATTGTGTTCAATGAGAACGAGTTGAATTATTGCACTAATGTTGTGAATTAATGAATCTTTAGCGTTAGTGAATTACTTGTCTATAAATTTGTAGGCAAACGGATAAAACCTGTATCGCGAGTTTGAATGCATGAAATCTAATCGGCCTCTGCATGGAAGCAGAAAGCAAAAACACGCCCGCGTACGTGCATGTCAAAGCGGCAAGCATGCACGCACGCGCGCACACACCCCAACGTACGCCCATACGCGCGCACACACCCCAACGTACGCACATACGCGCGCACATACGCGCGCACACACCCCAACGTACGCACATACGCGCGCACATACGCGCGCACACACCCCAACGTACGCACATACGCGCGCACACACCCCAACGTACGCACATACGCGCGCACACACCCCAACGTAGGCACATACG